GGAATGGGCCTGTTGGCACAACCTCATTGCCAACAGAACCAGACGTATGTCTTAATACTGCCATCTTCCGCTGAAGACGAGTCGATGGTTTCATATGAAAGGTATTTGTGTGAAATGATATATCAATTTTGAGGTGTCGAAAAGAATTCGATGTGTCATTTATTTATATTCTGACCAATCAGAATCAAGTATCGTCCATGTCATGGTAGAATAATGGTTACAAGCCCCGCCATAGACAGTGGCACCATTATGAGCTGAGAAGTGCTCGTATAGTCGTATAGTGCTCTCTGGTCCCTTCCCAGCAATGTGAGACTACTTTTAATAAATCTGGAGGCTTCAGGGTAATCTATATGTGATACAAAACTAAAAAGATAACTTTAGTCATCCACAACCCTGATAGGAGTTCAGGGTTCTTTGGCTCCAAACATACAATTAGTCATGGGTTTTGATAAAAAATATTCTTCATAAAAGGAGGATGTTGCTTTTTATACCAGACAATGTAACAGGAAAAAGACTGCCTAAAAGGACGAGCCGGTCTTCGTTTGTAATGGGTAAACATGATTGAACTCACACAAGCTCTGAAGTGTCAACAAACCGTGATAAAATATTGATTGATGTAATATGTCTCCGAGATCTGTAATACGCTATAATAAAAGATACTACTCGTTGTTTATGAGCAATAGCAATTAAGTGATATATCACGCTCTTTTAGATTTAGAACCTTATCTTTGAAATTATTTGCACCATATTCCAAGCTTCAGGTACATGTGAAACAAGTTGCCACAGTGTACGCTGTAACCTCCTCTAAAAGACCCGCAGCTGCATACCATCATTGTTGTCATGTCGTGTACTAAATTATGGTTTATTGTCATGATCCTTTGTACGCCATTACAACATGCTACATTGTGTTGAACTGCAACATGATATGTTGTGCTATACCATAACATACTGCATTGTGTTGTACTCCTAGACCCTACATTGTGTTGTACTGCAACATGCTACATTGTGTTGTACTGCAACATGCTATATTGTGTTGTACTGCAATATGCTACAATTTGTTGTACTGCAACATGCTACATTGTGTTGTACTACAACATGCTACACTGTGTTGTACTGCAACATGCTATAGTGTGTTGTACTGCAATATGCTACAACGTGTTGTACTACAACATGCTACATTGTGTTGTACTGCAACATACTACATTGTGTTGTACTACAACATGCTACTTTGTGTTGTACTGCAACATGCTATATTGTGTTGTACTGCAACATGCTACAATGTGTTGTACTCCAACATGCTAAATTTAGGAGATAAATTTGATATAGTTTCAAACAGAAGTTGACAAATAACCCTCTAAACGTCGTCCAATGACAGATGTTTTAATTTCATCGCAACCTGCTTGGCACTGTTTGGACTCACCATGTCATTTCTTGGAAATTGAATATGACATTTCCCTTTGTAGAGATGACAGGCCGTCTATAACTTTCGCGAGAACCGTTAACCCGAGGTGTATTAGAGACATTGCTTGTGTTAGAGTTTGTATGTAATAGAGGACATATCGATACGTTCCACAGTTCCTACGGGTGATTTTTTTAAATCGATATGAAGGCTATCGATATATTCATGCGCATGTGTTCTTGTGTGCAAAAGGATTAATATTTTCAAAAGAGATTTCCGTAGCAAAAAGGAAACTCCTGTTTAACCAATACTAATCAAGCATTCTTTAATGTCATGGTAGAATGTGTTGTAATCCAACACGTTACATGGGAATCTGTTATACTGATATTTTCTGCTTATGTACTTACACTAAAGCCTTACCTTGATTATGTCATCTGATCTAACCTTTTGTACAGTGTGAATGGCATAACACTGGTGCTACTGTCTTGTATTATATATATATGTACAGGTAATATGAGTTTGTGTGAATACGTTTGATTAATTATGTATAATCTTCTGATTAACTTCTGGAGGAAATAAAGAATCTCTCTCTCTCTCTCTCTCTCTCTCTCTCTCTCTCTCTCTTGTTTTGTACTATAACTCGCTACATTGTATTGTACTGTGATATCGAAATCCTGTTCTTGTGAGAGCAGAATAGCGTGATGATTTGTCGGTGACATGATTGACCTGACTGTTCGTGTGCCATGAAGAAGGGTAATTCATGAAATAAAACTAAAACGAATGTTGGGCCTTATTCAATTGATATGTGAGAAACGATGATTTAATGTCAGTTTAGGTCCTAGGCCCTAGCTTACTCATAGAACAAATGTAGTGTAGTTAATACTTGTGGGGGATGTTTACAAATGCAAAATACACGACCTCGTGAAAATGTAAGTGGAATGGCAACACATTCGAAACATACTGTAACGTGCTCTCCCTCTCACCTATTCACCTACATGCACATGTAGCTGGTGACAAGGGGTCCAGGTAACACTTGACAGTTCACCTTTTAAACTTAAGTTTTGAAAGATGAAAAGTTTGAAAGTTCTACACCGTTTCCTCCTTCTCACTTCCGAAATTATTTGTTTTAGATGGAAACTTGAAAGCTCAGCACCGCTACCAACTTCTTACTTCCGTACACCGTTTTGGACAGATGCAAAGATCGAAAGCTCTACTTCGCGTATCACTTCCCATTTCTGAGAAGATATTTCAGGAAATAGAAAACTTACGAGCTTGAATTTGCTGCTAACTTTCTATTTCATAGTTTGGTAAGGCAATGTTCTGATGGCCATTACAGAACAGAAATGAACATTTCTAACTCTAACAAATTATATTTATTCTGCATCACATGTATATATTTGTAAGTATTTGCTATTTCAGCAATTGTTTCAACAGAGGTTTGTTGGCATTTCACGATTGTAATATATTTTGTTGTCCAACAAATAGTTTTTATCACTACATTATATGTCCTGCCCTCTAGTGACCAATCACATCCCAAGCTATCCTGTGATTGGCCCAATTCAAGCTCTACCTTCTTGGACTGACTAACTCTATATTGCCACTTTCACTATGCACTGCATTGGGAGTAATTGAGGATCATCACTTGAGGTTAGTTCATACCATACCTTTACTTCCAGATTGAATTAAATAGTAAAGATTAGGCATTATAAATAAGCATCTACGCAGTAATTATCATATTTACATTGAATCATATACTTGTATGAATGTTGATGTTTTGAATGTACGTGTTTTAGAGGTTGAACTTTAAAGTAAGCAAGTAGAGTTCAATAGTGTATTTTATTATTATCTCGTATATATGCTAAGGTATATGCACCATTATTGAAGTGCACAAGCTATGCATTTTGATATTGATTTCATTGCATTTGGTTTGCATAGTAATTTGTCTGTGCACTTGGTAATGCTATTTTCTTGTCCCTTTGAGTATTAACATATTATGTACATGTAATGACCAGCTCTTTCTTGTACAGGACAATAGGGTATGTGTGCATTGTATATTAATTTTATTATCTATGATATATGTAGAAGTACATAACATGTGTATCTTGTATCTATATTATCCAATATATATTATAAGCCATTTCTCTTATATCAGCTGATAGTATTTTGTTGTAAGCTATGTAACAGAAATGATCGTATTGCTTTCATGATGATATGTTATATATCATGTTTTAATGTGCATATATATTATATTATCTACCGTTTATTATAACAGGGTGTCTATCCTGCTCATTAAGCCTCAAACCCCGTAGCCGACATCTGAGCAACTTATAGATAATGCCACAAAAACATGGTTACAAATATATCACTTAAAATATGTACACGTAGTTAACACATGACGAGCAATATGGATAGATAAAAAAGATCATTAAAGAGAAAACTCCATCAAGATCAATTTAGTTATCAATAACTTGAAAATCATAAAAGTCACAAAAACTTTATACATAAATGACCCGAAGACAACGAATGCTTACGGCTAAAATGTGGAATACTGGGTTATAATCTATCGTTCATAGTCCATAGTTAATATTCTTCAAAGTGTTAAAGTATTAAAGATTGTCACTGTCACCACTTCCAATATATTTCTCTGTGTGTGTGTGTGTGTGTGTGTGTGTGTGTGTGTGTGTGTGTGTGTGTGTGTGTGTGTGTGTGTGTGTGTGTGTGTGTATGTGTGTGTGTGTGTGTGTGTCTAGATCTGTTAGTGCGTGTCAATGTGTGTGCGTGTGCGTGCGTACCTTCTCGTTTTGTCAACCTTCATAACAAAACGCCTCCCCGTTCTAAAATATCTGGATCCATCCCTGAACAGGATTTATGTATCTGAATAGTTATGTATCTATATTCAGAGGTTCAGGACAATTTGAAAACATTTAGGCAAATGCCATCTGAAGTTTACTGAGAAAATGTGTGAAATGTTGGGCTTCCTCGTCGATAACATCCATGCAAAATAATGGGGGTAAGACGTTTAGGCAAGGAGTAGGCATTCCCAGAAGTATTTGCACCTCAATGGCAAGTACAAGTGTAGTACATCTTTGTTCTTTTCCTTCATTTGAAATGTGTACAGAGTGTGTAATGATTTCCGTTATGGGAACGTGTAATACAAATATACAAAACATTGTGCAAAAGACTCATGTTGTATGAGCGAGTGAGTATGGTTTTACACCGCGTAAAGCAATATTCAAGCAATAGGACGGCATGGGACACCAGAAATAGGCGTCACGCGTCCCCATTTGGTGAATATAACATGGGCATTCAGCGTGAAGAGCTGCACAATGATACACAATTGAACTGTGGCGTGGTGTCATTTTGTTTATTATCGCATAATTATACTTTTTATTTGGTCAAAATATCGGAGTCATTAATAACTGGCGTGGTCCATGATCATTTAAGTACTCCAACAGATTGTATTAACTCATGTTATTAACGCCTAGTCTTCCTGGACCTGATTCATTTGTATCATAGGGCGTCCTAAAATAGCTTGGATATTACTGACTGTGGTAAAACTCGCTCGCTCGCTCATTCTTGAACAGAGAAACAACACAGTATGTTTATCATTTAAATGATTTATTGAGCATGTCTTCCATCTCCTAGAAAGGGACCCATGTCTCTGTAAGAAACAACACTATGTATTAGATGCAGTTGAAATAAGTTTGACTTCAATTTACAAATGTGGCATTGGTTATCCTTTCATTCAAACAATCAAAATTTATCTTGTGATGCTGTTGGACATTAATCTGAGGGTTACTACAGTTATGACTTTGAGTTAGATATAAATCCACTATTATTAGCCAAAAGAATAAAAAAGGTAATAGAACCCCTACTTCAACCAAGAACCTGTCTATGTGTATGGGTTTAGTGAGCGCGACAATTTCGTTATGCTCTTTGAAGGCAACGACAATCGAATGTGGGGATGTTTGGGGTTATCTAGTGACATAACAGTGCCTCAATGAATGCGAGCACATGTGCTTGGTATGAAAGTAATCATACTGTGTGGTCGTGAAGTTGGGAAAGCATACTTTAGAAATCCATCGGAATATTAGGGTCATATAAAGGTCATAGACAAAACACAAAGTTGACTTTTCACCTGTAATTTCCATATGTTCTCTATGATCTAAAAGTGCAGGCAACAGACATCTGATTGTTGATAGCATTCTTACATTTAAACAACAAAATATATTTCATTTGAACTCAAGTTCTAACTTGCCTTCCCCGTGGCCGATCTCAAAGATCTGCTCGATCTAAACTGACGTAGTTGCCCGATCTGAACCAACGTAGTTTAAGAGTTGCCAGATCATTTGATAAAGTATAAATGACATTACTATGGTCATAATTGTCATCAATAAATGAGAACCATATTAATGCTGCCTGACAATTGTGGTTATGCTCCTACCTAATTCTGAATTTCGTGAGGGATGAAAGTGAAGTCTATCTTGAAACCTTCTCCATTTACGGATCCATCACTTGTGAAGACGAACTGGAAATGACCATCAGTACCTAGAACAGGATAAATACCTTTTAGAATCGGTGTTATAGAAAGAGAAATTGCAAATAATATGCACTGGTAAGAAAAGAGAACAGTACACACGTTAGAACAACACATGCCAATTGCTCTAACTTCTTCAGGTATTGGACAGGGAAATAGTGTGTGGAGAGTATGTTGAACCCAATCGTTAAACACATGCCACGTGTGGAAATAGAGGAAATTCCACTCGTATGTGTGCTACTCACTGTACGTCTTCTCTTGGATGTTTGTTCCACACAGCTTGTCCCCTTCCATCTCAACAGCATCGTATCGGCAGCTTCTGCCTGACTCAACGTCAAACAATGGGAAGGTGAAGACTAGGTCACCAGGAGTGGGGGTGTTGATGGTGTAGGTGCAGTACATGTTGCTCTCGTAATCACCAGGCTGTGACTCAAAGGTTCCGGATGTGGCGTTTATAGTTGCATTGCAGTAGACTGAAACAGGTGCGATTCATCAATGATAAACGGCAGTAAGAGGAAAATAATAATATTAATTTGCAATCGAACAACTTAGTAAATAATACAAATGCTCAACTGAGATAATGTAGACGAAGAACTGAGATGATGGACACGGGAAACTGAGATAATGAACATGAAACTGAGATAATGGACACGTGAAACTGAGATAATGAACATGAAACTGAGATAATGGACATGCGTTTACGTACCAAGTTCAGTGACATAATTGAAAGAGAAACCGGTACGCACAACACTTCTGTCACTGGTAAATGTCATGTCAACTGTTGGCCCAGTGTCTACAAAACAGTAACACATATAGGTTATTTACGACAAACATTATCCAAATTACTGTTTTTACTCGTACCAATACGTTACTTCTTAGTCTCTCAGTACTAAATAACATAAGTTCGTCGTAGAATAGTTAAAGATGTACAAAGTTTATTTAATCATGTGAACTGCAGGGTGAACGTTATAAATCTTTGCCGTCCCAGCTGTTATTAGGAATTAGTATCAGTGCTACTGCAGTTACCAATAGCGAAGCTTTTGTTTGTGTTTATAACCATGGGTGTTTTGCGTTCTTACATTGTCGGATAAAGGACTCCTTTGCTCCACACAGTTTCTCGGTGGCGTCATCACTTGTTACTGTTAAACTGTCATAGTGGCAAGCAGTATCTTCCTCGATGTCAAAACGGGTGAAGTTGACAGTGGTGATGTGAGGGGTGGGAGGAGACCGGAGAGTGATCTCACAGTGTTGGTTGTTTTTGTAATGATCATTAGAATCAGTGGCCAAGGTATAGGTGCCCTCAAGATCTTCACTATCGAAGTTGCAGTCTGGAATTTCAGTACAAGTTGATATACTTTTGTAGACCAGACAATCCAGTGATTGACATCATGAACGTCGATCTACGCAATTGGGATACGATAACATGTACCAACAAAGTCAGCGAGCCTGACCACCCGATCCCAATTAGGCACCTCGTATGAGAAGCATAGTCGCCTCTTCATGGGCCAGTTGGTTTAAGCAACATATCATATGAATAACAAAGACCATATCACTTCGGGCTTTCGTCCTACCTCAAGCGGACACGCATTGGAATAACTGGAATACTGTTTAAAGCAGTGTCAAACCCAACTCACTAATGTAAATAAAAGTCCCTCGTATTTTTCACTGATTGTCGAGTGCTCAGTCCTGGCCTCCTAGATATATATGTTCGTGATACACAGAGTAATATATCGATACTTACGCTCTTCAATGTTGAACAAAGCCACAAAGCCCTTTCCGGTAACACTGCTATCACTTCTGAAGCGGATGACGGCTGCTCCACCTTGTACCGACACTGAAGGAGAGACATCATAACCTTAGATTTAAAACACAATATCAAGCTGTGTTAAAGAAAATGAGTCTTCATTAAGAGTAGAGAGCCTTCATAGCATCCTAGAAATTATTTGTATTTTTTGCAGTTGTGTTAGCTGATGTTCCTATCTTGGTTTTAAAATCTTAAGGTTCGCCACTACAACAAGCAAATGTTTCGAATACTGACAGTGGTTCATGGACACTTACCTCTCGTTGCGTTGGGCAAATCACTCCCACAGTATTTATCATCCCCAACCTGGACGTAGTCGTAGCGGCAGTTGCTCGAAGACTCTGTGTCGAGGGCGATGAAGTTGATGTCCAGATAAAAGGGGGTATTGCGAGTGAACTCGTACGAGCAGTCCATGTTGTTGGTGTAGTCACTGCCGGTACCGGGTAGACTTTGGATAACGCCCGCCGTGACGTTGGTGTTGATGTATCTACAGTCGCCATTACTCAAGGAAGGAACACCTCCTGATTGATACAAATGGTAACACATTGTTATTGCCATTGTAATTTGATCAGTAGATTCCTTTATTGTTCGTATCCTCTTTGAAAATATCTCAAAACCATCCCCATCTTTCTAAACCCTATACTGTATCATGTGTTAGCGGAAGCCATATTGTTCCTATTTGGTTTGTTTCCTATTTGGCAACTGAAGTAACAAAGGTACCTGTCGATAGTTACGTGTGTAGCCTGAAGATACATTGGCTTCAATGTCACAGAATGATATTATCCATATTCGATGTAGCGTTAAGAACCAGTAGACATGAATTTTGCTTACTTGGCTGGATGGTGTAGGTGGCACTGTACCCTGCTCCTGTCTGACTGGAGTCAGAAGAAAATGTCACAGTGACGTTACCTCCATCTGACGTGTCTGAAAAATCAGCGTATTACTGCATTGAGTACAACTGAGATTGCAATTTAAACAGGTATCTATAACACCTTTAAAACTACTCTTTTCACTTAATATATATTACTTCCTTATGTTAAAGATTTATAGGGTTCTATCAAGCTTCAAATCTACGCACGTCAAATCCATTTTCCCCTGCGTTCGTTTTGTTATTCTTGTGTCGCAGGTTAGCAACTCTGCATCTTCCGACAGTTTCATTACACAGGTGACATACGCAAATTCATGTTTGTGTCATAGATGAGTCTGGCCCACCCACCGGCCTCACCAAACAAGTTGCTTAGTTACATCACTAGCATTGTTAATGAAACACATACGCTGTTCCGAGAGTTAACTATTCTCAAACTGGTTTATAAATGCTATTGCCAGCACCTTGTTATTGACTTTCTTCGTACTTCTGAGATGGACAATTCTTAATCTGACTCCGATATGTAACTTGTATCATAGACTAACGCATTTCTTATTACATCGATGTACTAGAGGTGAGATGTAAAATGTGACATATATGTGAGACTGACACTCCACTGTTCTGTTGTCCCATGTTGATCCACATCCCTTCTGGCTGTTTCCCTCGCCCATATCAACCTCCAGGTAGTCGTATCTACATGTGGATGAGCCCTCGAGGTCAAACGTTGTGAAGCTGAGGACCAAGGTGTATGGTACACTGGGGCCTGTGATGACAGTGACACACTGCACGTTGTTGGCGTAGCTGCCATTGCCGGGGCTTGTCAGGGTGCCAACATCTGATGTCAGGACTTGGGTGCAGGTATCTGTCGTGATGGGATGTTAGAAGGGAATTGTTATATGTGTAGAATATCAATAACAATGCATACACTTTATGTATGTACATTGACAACTTACTTTAAATTACATTACGGAAATACTCATCTGAATGGTCCGTAATTTCGACATCGGATTGGACGTAGTGTATACATTTCCCACATATTACACGTGCATACAGTTCTGAATTAATATATCTAATCCCTACAATGTTCCAGGTTCTAAACGATCATGTGTGCAATAAAAAAATACTGTCATAACGACTATCTAATTTGACAACTACAAGTTGTACTCACTGTCCTCGGTGTCGGGGAGACTTGTAGTGTTCACGGTTGTATTCACTGCCCAACACACACAAGTATGACCCACATGAACAAAAGCGATAAGTACATTCGATTAAATAGTTAAGTTTAATGAATACTTGGCAGTATTACTTCACAGCGTATTGTCTGATTATATTTCTCTGTTATAACAGCTTGTGATTAAGAATGCTAAATTCACAGCAACACTAAATAAGTTGGTCAAGATGGTTCTAACTTTGGTATCTTCCAATTAATTACATAGTGCACTAGAGTACCTGCTAGCGTTGTTGCTTCTGTGTAATTAGATGACATCGTTGAGTTAACGATAATGTCCACTGGAAACGGTGTTGTCTCAACAGATTCAACCTCTCGAACTGCAAAGTGTGACAAATAACATGTTAATACGTGATCAGTAACAACATACGAATAATCACAGCAATTTCACAAGAGCTATTCCGATTAAGAATGCCAAATTCATAGCAACACTAAATACGTTGGTCAAGATGGTTCTAATTTTGCCATAAATCCTTCCATTGGTATCTTCCAATTAATTACACAGTACACTAAGAGTACCTGGTAGCGTTGTTGCTTCTGTGAAATTAGTTGACATCGTTGAGTTAACGATAATGTCCACTGGATATGGTGTTGTCTCAACAGATTCAACCTCTCGAACTGCAAAGTGTGACAAATAACATGTGAATATGTGAAATAACAACATACGTACAATCTCAGTTGCTACATATATACATACGGATCCTGGATATACGTTATTGTCAACCCAATGACCCGGCTATATCCGTACTTTGTGTGTTTGTTTGACTCTGGTGGAGTGGGTTAGATATTTACCTGGATTCATGGAATACGTGGCCTGGACACCCCGTCCTGTCACTGATCCATCAGAGTGGAAGCAAACATTGAAACGACCGTCGTGGAATTCAACTGTAGGTACAAAAACACAACATTAGTAGAGGCCAACATTGACATGCTGGAAGCTTGGAAGCTCTATTAAACTTTCCATACATCACGGCAACCAATTTTTGAAACTACCAACGTCTGAAACATGCAGAAGTATTCGTGCAATATGCAGAAGTATTCGTGGAGCAAACCCACAGAACGATCGTCCCTTCACTGGTGCTGCGCCTGCCTCACTTCTTAGCAAAGATGTGGAGTAGTCCAGGCGCTAGATCAGTGTGTGAAACATGGCTATGGAGATCAGGATAAAGGTATACATGTACAGCATCAGTCTATACTACACATCCTAATGTGACGCAACGCGACGACAACAGCTTATTGAACTATGAATTTATGTGTAATCAACTTGAAATGCAGCTGCATTTGCTTCAGTTCATGGCAATATGAATGCTATTCGTATGACAACATATCCGAGTAATGATTAACATACAAACCTGTCCAGGATACTCCCTCTCACTATCAGAAGTGTACTATGTTTTAACGATAGCATCTGATGAACATCTAACCGAATTTCTATCGTGTTTTGCAGAAACTATTACGATTGTGGTGTCTCATACACGAAGCACTCACTTAGCGCCTTTCAGAAACTTCTGTATTCAACCAGATAAAAAAACTCACACTCTCTCTGGGTCCCCGCATCTACAGTGCCACACTCCCTCAGTTTTGTGTTAACGTCATCAAACTCAATGTAGTCAAACACGCAGCCGGTGGCCTCCTCGATGTCAAACACGTTGAAGACGAAGGTGATAATGCCCGAACCGGTGAAGCTTGGGTGAAGGGAGTAACAGGCATCGTGGCTGTTTTCATAGTTGCCATCAGGGTTGGTACTGATGCTGCCATGGTTGCCATTGTGGTTAATATTGCCTGGACAAGATACATATATATTCATTTCACATTTTCTCACACTTTTCATCATTTTGAAACTCAACCTAAGACATCCTCGAATAAATCATCTTATTTTTGTGTGTTAAATACCATAAACGTTAGCTACTTCACTATACATAAATGAGTCTTGGCCGGATTACGATCGGGTACAATAACATGCAATCACATGGCCTGATGACCCCATCCACTGACTCGCCTCATACGTTAAGCCTCGTATTTCAACAAGGAATCCCCAAAGGGGGGTCTTTCATGTAGTGATGTCTTAGAGAAACAGGATTTGCTTTATCATAACTTACATGAACTTGTGGCCTGTTCTTGTGGATATTCAGGGGATGCTGTGGTGTAGTCAGGATAGGCTGTGGCGTAGTCTGGGTAGGCTGTTGCATAGTCAGGATAGGCTGTGGCGTAGTAAGGGTAGGCTGTTGCATAGTCAGGATAGGCTGTGGCGTAGTAAGGGTAGGCTGTGGCGTAGTCAGGATATGCTGTTGCATCGTTAGGGTAAGCTGTTGCATAGTCAGGATAGGCTGTGGCGTAGTAAGGGTAGGCTGTGGCGTAGTCAGGGTAGGCTGTTGCATAGTCAGGATAGGCTGTGGCGTAGTCAGGGTAGGCTGTGGCGTAGTAAGGGTAGACTGTGGCGTAGTCAGGGTATGCTGTTGCATCATTAGGGTAAGCTGTTGCATAGTCAGGGTAGGCTGTGGCGTAGTAAGGGTAGGCTGTGGCGTAGTCAGGGTAGGCTGTTGCATAGTCAGGATAGGCTGTGGCGTAGTCAGGGTAGGCTGTGGCGTAGTAAGGGTAGACTGTGGCGTAGTCAGGGTATGCTGTTGCATCATTAGGGTAAGCTGTTGCATAGTCAGGGTAGGCTGTGGCGTAGTAAGGGTAGGCTGTGGCGTAGTCAGGGTAGGCAGTTACATAGTCAGGGTAGGCTGTTACATAGTCTGGGTAGGCTGTTGCATAGTCAGGGTAGGCTGTTGCATAGTCAGGATAGGCTGTGGCGTAGTAAGGGTAGGCTGTGGTGTAGTCAGGGTATGCTGTTGGGTCGTTAGGGTAAGCTGTTGCATAGTCTGGGTAGGCTGTGGCGTAGTCAGGATAGGCTGTGGCATAGTCTGGGTAGGCTGTGGCATAATCGGGATAGGCTGTTGCATAGTCAGGATAGGCTGTAGCGTAGTCTGGGTAGGCTGTTGCGTAGTCAGGGTAGGCTGTGGCGTAGTCAGGGTAGGCAGTGGCGTAGTCAGGGTAGGCTGTGGTGTAGTCAGGGTAGGCTGTTGCGTAGTCAGGGTAGGCTGTGGCGTAGTCAGGGTAGGCTGTGGCGTAGTCAGGGTAGGCTGTGGCGTAGTCAGGGTAGACTGTAGCGTAGTCAGGGTAGGCTGTGGAGTAGTCAGGATAGGCTGTGGTGTAGGCGTTCACTGCAATAAAGTTTGCAACTTGTTATGTTATGTTATGTAAGCAAAGTATGGTTATATTTAACGTAAACAACTGAAACAAAGTGAAGCACCTAAAAATATATACAAGAGAAATGAAACCGATCTGGTAGAATAGTCGAAATAATACTCATTGGCCTCACTGACATCTGCAACTTTGTTTACAGAATAGCAAAAAGACAGCGTGTATTAGTTAGTCTACTACAGTGGACTATTCTACTCACCTGTGTCTATGCTGTAGGTTCCACTGACCCCGTGGCCGGTGACGGAGCCGTCGCTGCTAAAACACACTTGGAACTGACTTTCTGTGACCGTGACTGAAATATTCAACTTCTGCCATGAGCACAGTGACAAAGTTGTTACGTTTAACAATAAAGGCAAGTTAAGAAGAGAAAACAGCGAACTGATTCAGGTAAATATTGAAGTGTTGAATTTCAGGTCAGTGTCCTGTTAACCTAAAGGATTGGGAGATTGAATTCATGGTGGTGTGAAAAATAAATGAAAAGAACAATTGTTATTTTATGACAAATTCAGCATCTATTCATGATGATTCACAAAACAAATTCGGAATCTGGAATAGTTGTTCCTTTTGGAAGGAATCATCAAGATGTCATTTATGAAATACCATGCAGATGTTAAATAGATGACTTACTTTAATAGTTTACACTTTACAACTGTGCTATTGGGAGCATTCGAGCGTCTGTTTCCTCACTTGTGCGTTGTATTTGATGAAGGGGGATCAACGGAATGGAAGCCAAACGGGTGCAATACAGGTAATACTATGATGCACTTATACCTGGAATGCCTACTTGTTCATGAGGTAAGGTATCAGTGTAACACTACCTACTATCCGAATAGAACCTATTACATACAAAGCCTGTTACTGTTTTTCATTGCTTTGATTATTATGTCTACTATCAAATAGGGACATTATTGAACATAGGACTCACATGTCCTTGAGAAGTCCGTCTTCTCTCCGCACTCCTTCACAGGCCCATCGTCCGTGTCGAAGGTGAGGGCATCATATCTACAACCAGAGCTACTTTCCACGTCAAACATATCAAATTGGAATGTGATTGTCCATGGCCCTTGAACGTCAGGCACGATGTCCCAGCAGCAGTTCTCGTTGCTGCCGTACTCACCGCCAATGTTGGTGGAAAATGTGCCTCTGTTGTCATACCTCGTTCCTCCATCACAACCTGTGACAGAACGTGTTTTAACCTTACAAGCTAATGATCGACAACTTACTAATGTATGTTATCTTTATAATCTAGTTTAACAACATGTTGCCATGTTCCTGATAATTGTATACCATTGTTAAGTTGTAAATAAACAGAAATAGAATGGTTTAGATGATAATATTCAGATCTTAAAGCACTATTTAGAAATGACATACATCTTGTTCACATGAGTAGTTTGGGCTCAAATAGCCACAGACAAATGGGTTTGTAGGTTTGGGGCTGATGGGGTGTGACTTAATTTACTGCAATAAGTTTATTGTAAAGATAAATTACGCAAACTTGATTTAGGTAAGGTATACCCACTGGAGTGTACGTCTATACCTACATAAACGCGCAAATGTATTGCTGACAGTTCTTAAATAAATACTAGTGCTTACCGGACGTTTGTCGCTTCTCACGTGATTGAACGTTCTGTGGCAATAAACAAACAATAATGCATTTGATCACATAATCTTTCCTATCAAAAATACTTTCCAAATGATTATACAGACATCCCCAATCGAAACAAACGGCTTGGCCTACACGCTAATATTGTGTAATAAACATAATTATTAATGTCCTTATACACGCCTAACGATTCAAATTGAGAAAGGATAAGAATAAATAAGAGAAATATTAACTCTTTTTTATTTGAACATGAAAAATAACTGTCAGTAAATGTGTTTATGATAAACATTTATAATTTTAGCATGAGAACGACGAGTTAGGATAATGGCGTATGTTTGACATATTTAGTGTAAAGGAAACGTATAATGTTTGGAGCCTTGCATTATTTTGAGACTAAATTACGCGAAAATAACACTCTCTATTATATACCCGTCCATGATTTCAAATTAACATTTCCCCAAGTACCCTCAGTGTTATCTCGTACCCGAAAATGGAATAATACTTGTCATACAAAAACATTTCAAAACTTTCCAGAAATATGGAGCCAACTTTGTAAGACAAGTGCCAGTGCGTTATGCGCCCTATCATCTGAACCTGCCAGTCATCTTTCAAAACATATTCTTGAAAATAATTCAACTCATTGCAAGTTCGCTGTGTGGATGTTTCGAACAGTTTTATCATCATACCTATTTCTACATGTGGTAGAACAATTCGCGGACATATACTCACATTGAAAGCCCTCGCATTGAAATACAAGCTGCCAGTCATCTATCAAAACAGATTCTTAAAAAAGTTCCACTCTTTGCAAGTTTACTTTTCAGATTCTTCCAACAGTTTTATCATCACGCCTATTTCTACATGTGTAAAATGCTATTCGAGGAAATATACTCACATTGAAAGCCCTGCCTTCAGTCTGAGCCAAAAGAAGGCTCACTACCAGAGTAAAGCAAATCATGCCTGGAACGTACATGTTGCATGTGTTGAATACTGCGAAATGTAGCTGCATTTATACATATTCACAGAACTAACACCTGTTGAATGCCCCCATTATACACAAAAATGTTCGTCAATAGAACATGACGAAACTGTACAACATAAGGCACATTTGCTTGAACATCTGCACCTAGTAGGTGGTTCACCTGCGACCTTCAAGGTTCGATATCCACACTTATGAACAGGTGACCTGAGATATGGAATATGATTACATGTCGTATTTACTGAACTATATCGGTCACAGGCCCCTCAATGAGGACGTGGCAAGAATTATTTCATATTTGGTATTTGTTCCATTTCTGGCGCGTGGTCTTCTTTGAAAAGAATACAGGAAAAGGGTAAGGAGACAAGTTACAGAAATGGTAAGTTCTATCTGCTAACAAACTGTGATCTTTCTCAATTCTTTATAGATCACACAAATTAAACTTAAACGTTTCTTGTTTTCAAAGTTGTTTGGTACTGAAATCATTCTAAAAACATTAACAAGAATGTATTTGTGTGCATTGTATGGGAAAGAAGAGCGTGAAAGCCGTGAGCCAAATCCTTCTTAATACATGTACCGATACAAATACTTTGTATTTACGTTTCGTATGAGAATTCGTTGATTAATGAAAATAGTTTACCAACATAGTGAGTGAGCTGAGTTTAACGCCGCTTTTCCAGTTATATCACGGCGTGTCAGCTTATTTGGGGTGTGTGTGTGTGTGTGGGGGGGGGGGGGGGGGGGGGGGGGGGTGTGAGCCCGAAGTGATGCAGGTCGGAGACGTTTACCATTTCGGTGTAACCCACGAGCACGGGTATGGTGCTGACAAACCTAGCTACATAATCGGGGCGAACCGGGATTCGAACCCACAATCATAGGTTTCTGGCTTGCCCAGGGGACGCAACTCTGCACAGCGAATTGCGGCGCCTTAGACGACTGGTCCACCCGTGCCCCCTTTTCCCAACATAAGTGATTGGGTATGTATTTGCAATATGTATTTGAAATATGAGGGACTATCATATACTAGTAGTTATTGGATTTAGTATATAGTATGCTCCTGACCACCTGAAATGACATACATCCCAGGTAGACATTTGTACTGAGGATTGGGAAATTTGCATTTATTATTTAAAATTTCACCAACTATTCATTTAATTATTTCAGTATTAAATACTTAAGATATGTCGCTTTAGGTTGTGTGTGATAAAATATCGACATCAAAAGGACAAGGGGTGCTTTAGCTGAAGCATCAGCCGTTATGGTATCAACTTTGGCCAAACAAACAATAAAGGACGTTGTCATATTTGACAGTTGAAAGACATATATGTCAATAATATCTGAGATAAAAGGATGATTCGAAAAAGCCTTTTTACTGCCCGTTGTCACAACAGAAAATAAAAAACATTTCATCATCATCATCATCATCATCATCATCATCATCATGATAATAATAATACGCTGTGCCCGTCCTTTCGTATTCATTTGGTGTGTTTCATTGGACGAAACAGGAAATTCAGGGTATTGACTCTCATACGTAGAATCATGGCAGACAATAGATCCAACCACCCTTGCTCTTCCCTCAATCGCTTATATTTACCAATTATGATGGGAGGACGTGGTTTGATTAATGTGGAGGCTCTTCGTGGTAGAATTGTTTTGTGCACTTTTGCACAAATTTATTTGTCTGATGATCTTCTTGTGAATGTTAACACTCATGATGAATGCAAGGTATCCACAGTTTTCTAAAACGAGCCAAGGATGTAGGACATAATCCCAATGTCAGTGTTGATTTTGTTGATGGTTCTCTACTGCTGGGCGGTATAGAAATTAGTGTCAACCAAGCGAAGTGCCATATCAAATCGGCCCTGACTCAATTTTTCAAGAAGAGGCTTTCTGAACGACCACTGCATCGGGTTTATGTGCAGTGTGTTGAGAAGGTCAGCAACCATGCAGAGTCCTTTGCTTGGATCAGGTCGGCTGGCCTGAAAAGTGAAACAGAAGGCTTTCTGTTTGCTGCTCAGGAAGTCACTTTCCCCTCGGAATCGTCAATGTGTGATTTGGCATCAAAATGTAATTATGAAATGTAGATTATGCAATGAATTTAATAAGACTGTCCAACAAATTCGCTTTCAATTATATTTCCTATATATTGACGCTGAAGGGGTCGTTGTCGGCACAGGTACTAGAGAAATGTAGTTCAGGTCCGTTTCAGTGTACAGACATCAAAATACAGCAACGTACCTGGTACCCTAAACGGCGGACGAGTCCATATTCCCCAACCCGAAACATAAACCGGTTCATGTTGCAGTTCCGGTTCGCCTGATTACGAGTGCATATCAGATTAATGGACGTACGTCACTGTGTATGATTGTTTCCTATATGATACGCTGGAATGAGCTTAATACAAATGTTCCTCCTCACGAACGCGTACTGCCATGTTTAATTCAACTGAGGTTTGGCCTATAGGAAGCGACACATACCTAAAGAACTGGTTACCCATATGCATTGCGCCCTGTGCCCCTGTAGGATCCTGGGGTCCGTTTCTGTATACAGAAACGCACCTGGGTACATTTTTGTAGTACCTGTGCCGACAACGGCCCCTTCAGCTATTCTGACTATACAACCTCTAAATATAGGTTGTAATGGGAGATGATCTGAAGGCCCAGAGACAAAATAATTTCAGGTCTTAAATATAGGTGATAAAACTACTGTGTTTGGACATTGGAGGTAGTCTACCTGTATATTGCTGAGTGCGGCGTTAAACAACAATCCAACCAACCAAGCAACCTGTAAAACAGAAACCTTTTATAATTTGATTTGGAACTGAGCGTTTCATTCTACCATGACGACAAGAGCGCCTTGAAAATGGTGCTGGAACGTGTACAGTTTACACATGGGCCAATGGGCCAGATTACTTAGAAAATGCCGAAAAGAGTTGACAGGTTGTGATTAACATAAAACATAAGAATAAAGTTTTAAGATTAATTAATTATATTCTTGACTTGTTCCAAATAATGGCAGCAAAATACTGTCAAAAATAAGTTTTTAATTTGTTCCTAATATGCTATCTGATGTGTTTTCAATGACAATTATATTCTAACTACTATTTTCTATGATATATAGAGCGAGAAAGTATGGTTTTACGCCCTTTTTGAGGGAGGCAACTGTAGGGGCTCGAACCCGGCGTGACGAGCGAACGCCTTAACCATAAGGCCACCCCACCTGCCCTATATGGTATATATAAAAGAATATAGTCCAGTAATGTTCTTGTTACTGAGTGAGTATGGTTTTAGCAATATTCCAGCAATAACACGGCGGGGGACACCAGGGCGTCACACATTGTACCCATGTGGGAAATCGAACCCGGGTCTTCGGCGTGACGAGCGAACGTTCTAACCACTAGGCTACCCCACCGCCCCGCGGAATAAGGTGAGAATAGGTCCCAAGCATCATTTAGTTTTGATGATAGTTTTAGGCGGTTGTGTGTTTACATATAACAAAAGACACAATTTGGTGCAAATTTAGCTGGAATGGCAACAAATTCGAAACAGATGTAACATGATCTCCCTCTCACATGTCCAATAACTGCATGCACATATGTCTGGCAACATGAGGATATCTTAGCATATTCAGCAAAATATGACCGGGTTTTTTAACCCTTTTTTTCAAGTTACGCACACTTGTCGTGGAGGGTGATCACTGCCGATCGACGATATCTATAGACGTATTGCGTCGGATACAATTATTATAGAGAAAACAATTTCATCAGCGTGTACATCTTAGATACATTAATCATATCCATTTATATTCAACGTAACATCGAAAAGTTCAAATAAAAGATACTGAAAGACTTATACGTGGCATGTTGATTCATCACCTACCGTTTCCTGGTCTCGCGAGCATACACGGTCAAACGGATTGGATAATATATCAATTATAAACAATTATATCGTGCAAGTCACATTGTTATTTCATACAGGTGGTGAATACTGATACTATTTAATGACTTTTGTTTATTCTGGATGTGACAGGCGAAACATTTCAATATTAACTGCAATTGGACTCGCTGAAATATTGCTGTCAGATTCTCGACCTTCATTTTCGTTTTTTTCTCGTCATATTCGACGGAAAATAACAAATGAAACATTCTTCGCTTAAGAAGATCGTCTACTTTCGACAAAGCATATATATGAAGGCAATGTAAACTTTCTTGATACCATTACGTTAGGCTGAGAACGGGTGAAGCGCGCAATGTTATATTTTCGTAAGTATTCTAGCATCCCGACACGGGATTTGTATTTTCATATAATCTTAAATACTCAGCCAAAACACTTAAAATTAGGACTGGTGAATATTTATGAGTAATTTATTGTTTCCTGCAAATGTTATTACATGACACGTTAGATTAACCCTAATGTTCTTATTTCTGCAACTGACCTTGTGACCTCGAAAATTAAGTTTATTCTGTTTAACGTTTGGATAATAAATTTACTGAAATGGTACTTAATTTACCATCGCGCCTTTATCGGAGATATCAGAGACATGAGTATGTTCCGAACATGAAACACACGCCACCTTAAATAACGACCGTTTGAAATCGTCAACCCTCTTTTCAGCACCTTATGCCAAAACAATTCAGTAGGCTAAAGGTTAATCAGTTTTTCTCAAAGTTACATCTTATTCTCAGACTGTTTGAAATGAATATTGCGAGTTGTGAGGTATCCTTGCATTGTGCCTTTTGAAACTTCTTGTGGTTGGGGTAAAATATGTTAGGGTAAAAGATGTTATGGTAACTATCACGCTTTTCAAACATTTCAAGGCGTACCTTTGCTTTCATTTCTCTGTGGTAATCACCCTCCGAGCTCTTTGTCTCTGAGACAAGTTCACAGACGACAATCACCGAGTGGGATGTCTGTCACCAATTATGTGAATTGTGTATGGAGTATGTGATGATTTCTGTAATGTGACACATGTCAAACAATTATATTCTATGTAA